GCTGTCAGCATCGATAATTCAGACGACAGGTCAGATATTAGTCAGAACGTGGTCGCACAGTGTTGGGAGGAAATTGATGCGTTGAAGCTCGCGTTGATTCAGGTGATTGCGTCTCCTAGCTTATTTATGTAAAGGAAAGGCAAAGGGGCTTGTAGACGTTTTAGTATCGGTCTTCCTTGCACTTAGGGCAATTGTTGGCGCTGATTCTTTTCATGAAGTTGATGGTTGGGCGCGTTGATATCCATCTCCCTGCCATCAGTTGAAGGTGCCTTATTTTTAAAGGCAGGGTTCTTTATATCGCAAGCATAATGTTTAGTATTCTGTTTCCTTACCATACTGGTACTCGTTTATCAACGTCAAAAAGAAGAAGGCCGAGTGATCTTACGTTTCGAGTCGGACGTTCTTCCAACTGAGCGAACAACCACTGTCTGAAACCACATGTGGTAAATTCGTTTCTCAAAGCAGTTCAGGGTTAAGGCAGCGATTGCTGTTCCGCCGGAATCGAGTTCTGCATCTCCGGCGTTCGAAATTTATTCCTTAGAAATTGTGCCACTGCGCTACAATTCAAATCTTGCATGAATAGAGCGAAACGGATACCTTTCAGTGATATCTTATAAATTTTAGTTGTTTAATTAGTACTTAATCAGTTGGTTAAGAGATAAGAGAGTTAGCTTGTAGAGTAGCAAGTCAGTTTTGATCGGCGAGCTTTAAACTGTCATTCATGCAACGAACGCCATGGACAATATTAACAAGCAATTTATTTATAATATCAAGTTCTAGTTCAAATTTATTACTCTGTAACAGCTGCGAGAACAACCACGTTACATTGTCACTTCATATATATAGCTGTGTATATTCAGTATTGGTAAAAAATAGGTAAATAATTTTTTTCACCGTGCGTTGGCTGTTCAGCAAGTAGGTTCTGTCGGAGAATCGCTTCAACCTTATTAGGATTCATTAAGGAAAGATGCAGTAAGAAATAACAGGTCTTCGAAAGTTCTGTTTATGAACGTCGTTTGATGGAATCTTTGTGTAGATGATGTTCATTGTTGTTTCCAGTGATATTCAATTGTACTAAATAAGCTTGTATTATTTTTGGGCTTTGCTTCCGTTTCTACCAATTTTTTGTTGTTTTCGGCCTGGCAGTCAGTTTCATAAGAGAATGTTCATTATTTTCATAAAGTTAGTATGTTAACATTTACTGAAATATGCATTGTAACATGATTATTAATACTGAATTATTTCTGGAAGACGAATGACATCACCCGTTCAAAGGAATGACTGTCTCGATATCTGTCACCAATCAGTTTCATTTCTAATAACTTTGCCATCGATTGATAGGTCTTTCAGCGCACATTAGGCGTTGCAACCATATTTGGAATTTGGCAACGTGGATAACGGGCGACTTATACGTTGGAAAGTTGAAACCCGATTCTTTTGGGGTAGGAAGCTATGTTGGATTCATGTAACATAAGTGTACATACGGCTGAACAATGTTTCAGAACATTTCGCCACCGTATAAAGAAGGGACGGTTGCGTTCTTACGCGAAGTTGTAGAAAGCTACCGGATAATAATGCTAATATCGATAATATTATTGTAATGGCTTTGAAATTGTTTCAGCATTAGTATATGCTTAAAATGATCCAGAAACATTGGCGCGTCTTTTAAATGATATTCTGAAGATAGTTAATAGTAAATGCAATGAGCAAATTGTTTTAGGAAAACAATGAGCGGTTGTGCAGTCAAACGACGGACATTGAGCTCACCGTTGACCGGCTTTGTACATCCGTTCTGATGGAAAACCTATCTTCAGAGGAGGTGCTCCAAAGCTTTATATCCACTTTCAGTGTAAGCCGTTCTCTTGTCGGTCCCGTGCTTTTGACTCATTTCAAAGAGTACTGTGTTTTTTTTCCAGAGCTTCTTGCACCATCTGAGCTCTCAAGATGAAGACAGCAGCTGCCAGAAGAGCATATGTGAGTTGACGCGCACCGTACACGCTGTCCTGTTCGACGTCGCTCAGATATTTGCCGTCTCTGATCAGGACAGCTTAAATACGCTTCAGCGAAGAGTTAAATCGATGTTATCCGAGCCTCGTTTGCCAGGTATGCGAAATTACTAGATTACAGGAAATAAATTTACATGGTACAGATTTCATATGCCTGCCTGTTGTCTCTTAGTGCACTTTTTTTTCTTGATTCATAGAACTGAGGTAAACGTTGATCATTGTTCATTCTTTTAAATGTTACCATCCAGGGACTATTCCAAATTATTTCATTCCACCAGTATCGTCCGTGCCGGTATGGATTGAAACTAATTTAGTCCAGACTGGTAATTTTTACTGCATTGCTCCTCCGGCGTAAACTTAATCATATGGGTAGCAGTGTTGGCTCTTATGTATAGGGATAGGCTTAATAATAACCCAGTAGAACCGAAGATAAAGTATTTCGTTCGTACGTTGGTGGTCGTGGTAAAATATTGCATAAATTACAGTTTATCACAACGCAAATGATACTGTGACCAGTCAGTTGACAGTCCATTACCGACGTTTTGACTCGTGTCTCACGGGCCTTCATCAACGTAGGTTGGTGGAGAAGCTTCTT